ATTAAAAAAATTGTCAGACCTATATATAACTATTTTTCTTATCTTATCATTAATTATTCTAACTATACATTATTTAAATTATTTTAAATGAATTATATTATTACTATTTATTTCATGTGATATATTTTTTCTCTAATTTTCTGTTATTAAGCAATAATATTATACCCTTTGTGCTCAATAATAGACCTACAATATTTAGACATCAATTAGTAAAATGAGTTAAAATATATTATACAACATATTATACCATGTCATTTTACATTATATAGTTCTAAATATTTACAAAGTTAAACTTGGTAAAAACTTTAGCAAATTATCCGTTAAAAACAAAATTATATATATTACGTAAATCATTTTATAAAAAAATTTGTTATCTACTACAAGTTTAATAAATATTTAAAAGCTTATAAGTATAAACTATATACTATTAACTGAGCCAAATACATGTCAAGTAAATTTTAAGTCTTACCAAGTCAGTATATAACTCTTATAAAATGCCCACAAAATATAATGAGAGAGTGTAGACGTTGGCATTTGGGTCTCCGCATTGGATTACAGATCTTTTTTTCGAACCAGAGCTAAATAGGTATTTCGATTTTGAAAGTTTTCAGTTCGGGTTCAGATCGGTACCTATTAAATATGAATGAGTTCAGATCCAAAAATTAAAGACATGTAATTTAAAATTTACATTTTGTGGTCAATTTTATGTGGCCCTCTCGCGTGTAACAAGCAAAGCAGGATTAACGATAATTAAATACGAGGATTCACATCAGCTAAAAGTGAAGAACATTGTCTACAAAGAAATATTCAAATGTCTTCCTCCCCAAAGAGGTATTTAAATTGAAGATTAGCAATTCACTATCACTTTTAAAAAGGGTTTTCTGATAAAAATTTCATTCCGCAGATTTACAAGACACAACATATCAATCAGGGGAAGTACAATCACATTGAGATTGACTTTCACATAGTCTCTACGCAGCTAATCGAGTTATATATCATTTGTATATAAATTAAGGTGTATATGGATCTGCTTACTTGAGATAACTAACTTGATCTTTTTTATTCTCAGGATATTTTTCATACGATCCAGATCGCAGAAATCTATCTTTTTTTTTGACACACATTATCTACTTCTTACTTTAGTTATGATCATTTAAACTACTCTTTTTATTTTCTTAAAAATTTGGTAACACTTACTAATCACCAAATTTACATAATTTTTTAAAAATACATTATCATAAATCCAAAAATTATGATCGTAAGCAAATCTAATAACCACGTAAAATCTAATAAACAACAAGTTTCATAATATTAGTACAATACAAATGTTATTAATGCAAGAACAAATTGAAAATTATTCCCCTAACCTAAATTAATTAAACATGTATCTGCACATAGCGCGGAGAAACACCCTAATATAACTTAACATGGGTTGTTTATAATACTCAAGCCCATAAATTAAATGAATATTGGTGTCCTACTGCAGACAGGGGCGAACACAGAAAAATATTTGGTGTGTGGCACAAATAAAATTTCTAACATAATGAAATATTTAATCGGGTAGTTATAATATAATTGACACAATATAGTTATGGTTGACAAAGAAAAATAGATAGTTATGAAATATAATTTAGAATTTAATTCTAGAACACTAACGATTTTGAGTACAACACAAAAATCCAGACCACAATTATTAGGCATTCTGTATTTTTACATAATACTAGATCCTTTCTCCGCGCTAAGCGCGGATAATATGTTTAAATTTTTTTATATTTATAATTTTTATTTCTATGTGAATTTTTGTATATTAAACTATATTTAACTAATTTTTAAATTTGATTTTTTATATTTTTGGATTGAAGTAAGTATTTGAATATAGTTAACTTGTGGTAATGGATAATTTAGTTATATAATTATTTTCAATATACCATGAAATTTATACTAATTGTCAAATATGTTTCTATTATATGTAACACAATTAACTAATAAAAGATGAAGAACCAAGTTCGATATTTTAGAGTTATGTAAAAAAAATATAATCATAAATAATCTTAGTTTAAAAGATCAGAATCTCATCTCAAATAAATTCACGAAAAGAAAAAAAATACTCCAATAACCTACTTAAAATATAAAAGCTCATTTTCAAAAAAAAAAGCGTACTTAATAATATTTTTTACGTGTAATAGTTGAAAACTGTCAATTGAATATCGATCTAGAATATTATTTTAATATATCTAATAGTAAAATATTAATTTTAATAAACACATTTTGAATTTTGTAATATTACATGAATTAGACATCTTTAAAATCTAAAATCTATTTTATTAACATAATATATTTTTTATTCATTTATTCTTTTGACGTTAAAAATATTTCTTTAGTTTTATTTGTATATTAATTTGTTAATAATTTAGTTTCTTTTTAAGTAATTTTAAAATTATCAATAATAAAAATATAATGTCTCATTTTTATGTGTTTTTGCGTCGAACATATTTTTTTTTATATACTTAATAACGCATTGTTGCGTGCCGTTTTATGGTTTTAATAAATGTGTTTTCATTACATTTTATTACTATTAACATAATTTTTAGTGACCAGTGATAATGTAATTTTAACATTAAGTATTATATTTTATCCTATATTTTTTATTTAGATTTTCCACTCTTCATGTTGGCACTTTCTTTATAATCATTTTAATTAGATAATACATTTAAAGATGTCAATAAAACTGTGTATGTTGTAAATTTAGTTTTTTAATGTAACTGAGCACTACCAATTATGAAAATTATATTATGATTTTATTTTACTAAATCTTTCTTTCTGTGTATATTTTTGTTTTATTTTGTATTTTTACAATTTTAAAGATTACTTCTTTACTGAATCTTTTCTAAAAACATTTTCGGTGGGTATCTTACATTCAACAAACAACCTACACAATCTTTCAGTCTTTTCAATTAGATAGACGCCTCGGTTCATAAACTATCCAGATCCCAGCCGGGTCTTATATGGTCTTGTTGATGATTGGTATCAAATAGATATTCCATGCAGATCAAAAAGGAGAAAAAGAAGTGGGAGAGACAGATTGATCGAAGAAACACGAAAAGAGAAGAGACGAAAGGATCCCGAGACGTTTATGGTTTTCCCTTCATTGGACTAAATGGGCCAAAGAAATAAAATCTAATGGACCCAAAAATTTAGAAACCCAAACCGGAAATGGGTTGCTGACGTGGCAAAATGAAATGTCCCCATTAGTCGATTATTTTATCTGACGTGGATCTTCTATAGGCTCATATTGCCCTTTTAATAAAATTTTAATTTTGATTATATATTTTGTATGTTTATTTTATATATATTTATATATATACATAAGTAAAACTTATTTATAAAATCATAAGTAGCTAAACAATTACAAAATTGTTTTAAATTTTTCATTATTTGTGACTTATGCATTTTAAAATCTGGAGTATCAATTTTTTTTTGTTATCAGACATTATAGATTAGGGGATGAGCAGTATAAAACAATAAGTTGTGAGAAAATTTATAGCTATATAGGATCATTGTGGGTTGGAGAATTATGGTGGCTTTGGTATAATGGTCCTCCAATATTTTTACTAATTTGAGTATTATAATTGTTTTGAATGTTCTTTTATTTATTTTGTTATCCTTTGTAGTCATTAGAGTTATGTTGTTTTGCGAAGTGCTATATATCGTATTAAGTTTTTCGTTGTTGCTGTTCTTTTCAAAAGAATAATTTTTAACTTTGCGATGATTGACTCAGATTTCTATTTCAATGCTAAATTTATTTGTCTTTTTGTTTTTTTGCTAAATTGAACGGGATTTATTAAAAGAAATTCTTAGTTAGTTCTTATCGTACAATCCGACATATTTTTCTTTAATCATGAACTGTATAGCTTGTTTGTAATAGAAAAATGTGACATCGATTTCGATGTGATGGGATGTAATCGTAGTTTATGTATTCTTATCAATTTCATAACAACGAACAAACTTTTTATTCTCAAAACTATCATACGTCGTATAGTATTGCATCTAGTTTCGAGCAGAACTATCGTTTGTCAACACTGTTACCATAAACAATTTGAAATTTGATGATTAGTTTATCAGACCGAAGGCATAATGCATACTATCTAACATTCAAAAAAAAACTGATATCCCAAACGACAGCATTACTTAGATTTGAGGGATTTAACATAAAATTTTAGGAACCCAAAATGCTCACCCACTCGGCCCTTCACCAAAGGAAAAACTATCAAAACTTTATGAAAAATTGTGACTTTGGCCAGTTCTCTAGATTCTTTTAAGATATACACCGCCACTTTTGTGCCATTCATGCCTTCCTGCACCTAGTTAGTTTATAAGCAAAAATTAATCTAGTTGTTAATATTCAAAGTTTTGAGTTACTACAGCTCTATACTGAGTTATGTTTATTTACCTGACGGTTTATGCTGACTTGAAACTTTGGATTCTTTGACACAGATGTGTGTTCCTTCCACTCGATTTTTGTTTTGGAGACTTTTCTGGGATTAAGCTTTGCTTTCTTATCGGAATTGTTTTTCTCATCTCGACATTTAATATCGTAAGCGTCTCATTCCGATGTGAAGTAGATGAGAACTTATTATCCGAAAAGAGCATCAGATTAAGATTTAAAATTACTAAAAGCTGAATGAGTTGGAGTTTTCTAAAGCATATGTATATGTAGCTTGGCCACAAAATAACACATGTATATTTCTTTTTGGTAAGAATAACACAAATATATTATTTCGATTGACAACCAAATACAGAAAGAGATAGAGTTATACTTACATTTTTAATTTTTATACAAACTTAATGGGAAATATATTACAAAATCACAAAAACAGATCCAAAAAAACCCAAAATACACTTATTAAATCTGGCAAAAGAAATATAAAACCACAACCACAATAAAAAGAAGCTTTAGTGGGGAGACGACTTTTAGAGAGTTGACTCTTGACTGAGCCCTTTTAAGCATTGGTCTGGTGTGCCTGGAGTAATCCATTTCGAATCTGTGTTGCCATGTCAGAGACGGCGCCTGGGCCGTGAGGGATAAACACCGAAGAAGATTTGGAGTGAGCTCTGATGTCTCTCATCGTGTCAAAGTACTGAGTCATCATCACCATGTCCAACACATCCTTCCCTGACATTCCCGGCACGTTTCCAGCGAACCCTAGTACACCGTCTCTCAGTCTGTCCACGATAGCTTGTCTCTGACGAGCTATACCGAGTCCAGACAGGTACTTGAACTCAGCTTCACCTTCTGCTCTCTTTATCTGAATGATTTTCTCCGCCTATGCTTTCTCGTTCGCCGCCACTCTCATCCTCGCCGCTGTAAACTATTTTTAAAACAGATGTTAACCTTAAGTTTGATTATGTGGTTTCTAAGATTTGGGAGGTTAGGACTTACCGGCGTTGATTTCGTTCATGGCACATTTAACTTGTTGATCAGGCTCGATATCTATGATAATGGTTTGGAGGATCTCATTACCATAAGCAGTCATGGCTATGTCAAGCTGTTCTTCCACGGATTTAGCGATTTCATTCTTCAGCTCGAAGACATTGTCCAGGTTCAGCTTTGGCACACATGCTCTGATCACTGAGAGAAACAGAACAACAATCAGAATCTTTGAATTACTCGGATGGAGAAGAAACTGGTGTTGGTGGACTTTCTTATTCTTAACATTATCGATTCAAATTTCATCCTCATCATCATCTGAACCCTTCTTATACTAAATAAAGAAAACATGGGTCACATTTCAGAAAACATACACTAAGCGAGTTATATATCATTTGTATATAAATTAAGGTGTATATGGATCTTCTTACTTGAGTTAACTAACTTGATCTTTTTTATTCTCAGGGTATTTTTCATACGATCCAGATCGCAGAAATCTATCTTTTTTTTTTACACACATTATCTACTTCTTACTTTAGTTATGATCATTTAAACTACTCTTATTATTTTTTAAAAAATTTGGTAACACTTACTAATCACCAAATTTACATAATTGTTTTAAAATACATTATCATAAATCCAAAAATTATGATCCTAAGCAAATCTAATAACCACGTAAAATCTAATAATCAACAAGTTTCATAATATTAGTACAATACAAATGTTATTAATGAAAGAACAAATTGAAAATTATGCCCCTAATCTAAATTAATTAAACATGTATCTGTACGTAGCGCGGAGAAACACCATAATATCACTTAAAATGGGTTGTTTATAATACTCAAGCCCATAAATTAAATGAATATTGGTGTTCTACTGCAGACAGGAGCGAACACAGAAAAAATATTTGGTGTGTGGCACAAATAACATTTCTAACTTAATGAAATATTTAATCGGGTAGTTATAATATAATTGACACAATGTAATTATGGTTAACAAAGAAAAAAAGATAGTTATGAAATATATTTTAGAATTTGATTCTAGAACATTACCGATTTTGAGTACAACACAAAAATTGAATTCCAGACCACAATTATTAGGTATTCTTTATTTTTACAGAATACTAGATCCTTTCTCCGCGCGGATAATATGTTTAAATTTTTTATATTTATCATTTTTATTTCTTTGTGAATTTTTGTATATTAAACTATATTTAACTAATTTTTAAATTTGATTTTTTTTTTATATTTTTGGATTGAAGTAAGTATTTGAATATAGTTCACTTGTGGTAATGGATAATTTAATTATATAATTATTTTCAATATACCATGAAATTTATACTAATTTTCAAATATGTTTCTATTATATGTAACACAATTAACTAATAAAAGATGAAGAACCAAGTTCGATATTTTAGAGTTATGTAAAAAATATAATTATAAATAATCTTAGTTTAAAAGATCAGAATCTCATCTCAAATAAATTCACGAAAAGAAAAAAATACTCCAATAACCTACTTAAAATATAAAACCTCATTTTCAAAAAGAAAAAGCGTACTTAATAATTTTTTTTACGTGTAATAGTTGAAAACTGTCAATTGAATATCGATCAAGAATATTATTTAAATATACTAAAAGTAAAATATTAATTGTAATAAACACATTTAGAATTTTTGTAATATTACATGAATTAGACATATTTAAAATATAAAATCTATTTTATTATTAACATAATATATTTTTTATTCATTTATTCTTTTGACGTTACAAAATATTTCTTTTGTTTTATTAGTATATTAATTTGTTAATAAATTAGTTTATTTTTTAAGTAATTTTAAATTTATCAAGAATAAAAATATAATATCTCATTTTATGTGTGTTGCGTCGAACATTTTTTTTTTGTATACTTAATAACGCATTGTTGCGTGCCGTTTTATGGTTTTAATAAATGTGTTGTCATTACATTTTATTACTATTAACATAATTTTTAGTGATCAGTGATAATGTAATTTTAACATTATGTATTATATTTTATCGTATATTTTTTATTTAGATTTTCCACTCTTCATGTTGGCACTTTCTTTAGAATCATTTTATTTAGATAATACATTTAAAGATGTCAATAAAACTGTGTATGTTAAAAATTTAGATTTTTAATGTAACTGAGCACTATCAATTATGGAAATTATATTATGATTTTATTTTACTAAATCTTTCTTTCTGTGTATATTTTTGTTTTATTTTGTATTTTTACAGTTTTAATGATTACTTCTTTACTGAATCTTTTCGAAAAACATTTTCGGTGGGTATCTTACATTCAACAAACAACCTACACAATCTTTCAGTCTTTTCAATTAGATAGACGTTTCGGTTCATGAACTATCCAGATCCCAGCCGGGTCTTATATGGTCTTTTTGATGATTCGTATCAAATAGATATTCCATGAAGATCAAAAAGGAGAAAAAGAAGTGGGAGAGACAGATTGAAGAAACACGAAAAGAGAAGAGACGAAAGGATCCCGAGACGTTTATGGTTTTCCCTTCATTTGACTAAATGGGCCAAAGAAATAAAATCTAATGGACCCAAAAAATTTAGAAACCCAAACAGGAAATGGGTTGCTGACGTGGCAAAATGAAATGTCCCCATTAGTCGATTATTTTATCTGACGTGGATCTTCTATAGGCTCATATTGCCCTTTTAATAAAATTTTAATTTTGATTATATATTTTGTATGTTTATTTTATATATATTTATATTTATATATAAGTAAAACTTATTTATAAAATCATAAGTAGCTAAACAATTACAAAATTATTTTAAATTTTTCATTATGTGTGACTTATGCATTTTAAAATTTGGAGTATCAAATTTTTTTTTGTTATCAGACATTATATATTAGGGGATTAGCAGTATAAAACAATATGTTGTGAGAAAATTTATAGCTATATAGGATCATTGTGGGTTGGAGTATTATGGTGGCTTTGGTATAATGGTCCTCCAATATTTTTACTAATTTGAGTATTATAATTGTTTTGAATGTTCTTTTATTTATTTTTTTGTCCTTTATAGTCATTATAGTTATGTTGTTTTGCGAAGTGCTATATATCGTATTAAGTTTTTCGTTGTTGCTGTTCTTTTCAAAAGAATAATTTTTAACTTTGCGATGATTGACTCAGATTTCTGTTTCAATGCTAAATTTATTTGTCTTTTTTTTTTTGCTAAATTGAACGGGATTTATTAAAAGAAATTCTTAGTTAGTTCTTATCGTACAATCCGACATATATTTCTTAAATCATGAACTGTGTAGCTTGTTTGTAATAGAAACATGTGACATCAATTTTGATGTTGTTGTGATGGGATGTAATCGTAGTTTATGTATTCTTATCAATTTCATAACAACAAACAAACTTTTTATTCTCAAAACTATCATACGTCGTATAGTATTGCATCTAGTTTCGAGCAGAACTATCGTTTGTCAACACTGTTACCATAAACAATTTGAAATTTGATGATCAGTTTATCAGACTGAAGGCATAATGCATACTATTTAACATTCAAAACCACTGATATCCCAAACGACAGCATTAGTTAGATTTGAGTGATTTAACATAAAATTTTAGGAACCCAAAATGCTCACCCACTCGGCCCTTCACCAAAGGAAAAACTATCAAAACTTTATGAAAAAATTGTGACTTTGGCCTGTTCTCTAGATTCTTTTAAGATATACACCGCCACTTTTGTGCCATTCATGCCTTCCTGCACCTAGTTAGTTTATAAGCAAAAATTAATCTAGTTGTTAATATTCAAAGTTTTGAGTTATTACAGCTCTATACTGAGTTATGTTTATTTACCTGACGGTTTATGCTGACTTGAAACTTTGGATTCTTTGACACAGATGTGTGTTCCTTCCACTCGATTTTTGTTTTGGAGACTTTTCTGGGATTAAGCTTTGCTTTCTTATCGGAATTTTTTTTCTCATCTCGACATTTAATATCGTAAGCATCTCATTCCGATGTGAAGTAGATGAGAACTTATTATCCGAAAAGAGCATCAGATTAAGATTTAAAATTACTAAAAGCTGAATGAGTTGGACTCTTCAAAAGCATATGTATATGTAGCTTGGCCACAAAATAACACATGTATATTTATTTTTGGTAAGAATAACACAAATATATTATTTCGATTGACAACCAAATACAGAAAGAGATAGAGTTATACTTACATTTTTAATTTTTATACAAACTTAATGGGCAATATATTACAAAATCACAAAAACAGATCCCAAAAAACCCAAAAGACACTTATTAAATCTGGCAAAAGAAATATAAAACCACAACCACGATAAAAAGAAACTTTAGTGGGGAGACGACTTTTAGAGAGTTGACTCTTGACTGAGCCCTTTTAAGCATTGGTCTGGTGGGCCTGGAGTAATCCATTTCGAATCTGTGTTGCCACGTCAGAGACGGCGCCTGGGCCGTGAGGGATAAACACCGAAGAAGATTTGGAGTGAGCTCAGATGTCTCTCATCGTGTCAAAGTACTGAGTCATCATCACCATGTCCAACACATCCTTCCCTGACGTTCCCGACACGTTTCCAGCGAACCCTAGTACACTGTCTCTCAGTCCGTCCACGATAGCTTGTCTCTGACGAGCTATACCGAGTCCAGACAGGTACTTGGACTCAGCTTCACCTTCTGCTCTCTTTATCTGAATGATTTTCTCCGCCTATGCTTTCTCGTTCGCCGCCACTCTCATCCTCGCCGCTGTAAACTATTTTTAAAACAGATGTTAACCTTAAGTTTGATTATGTGGTTTCTAAGATTTGGGAGGTTAGGACTTACCGGCGTTGATTTCGTTCATGGCACATTTAACTTGTTGATCAGGCTCGATATCTATGATAATGGTTTGGAGGATCTCATTACCATAAGCAGTCATGGCTATGTCAAGCTCTTCTTCCACGGATTTAGCGATTTCATTCTTCAGCTCGAAGACATTGTCCAGGTTCAGCTTTGGAACACATGCTCTGATCACTGAGAGAAACAGAACAACAATCAGAATCTTTGAATTACTCGGATGGAGAAGAAAATGGTGGTGGTGGACTTTCTTATTCTTAACATTATCGATTCAAATTTCATCCTCATCATCATCTGAACCCATCTTATACTAAATAAAGAAAACATGGTTCACATTTCAGAAAACATACACTAAGCGAGTTATATATCATTTGTATATAAATTAAGGTGTATATGGATCTGCTTACTTGAGTTAACTAACTTGATCTTTTTTATTCTCAGGGTATTTTTCATACGATCCAGATCGCAGAAATCTATCTTTTTTTTTTGACACACATTATCTACTTCTTACTTTAGTTATGATCATTTAAACTACTCTTATTATTTTTAAAAAAATTTGGTAACACTTACTAATCACCAAATTTACATAATTGTTTTAAAATACATTATCATAAATCCAAAAATTATGATCCTAAGCAAATCTAATAACCACGTAAAATCTAATAATCAACAAGTTTCATAATATTAGTACAATACAAATGTTATTAATGCAAGAACAAATTGAAAATTATGCCCCTAACCTAAATTAATTAAACATGTATATGTACGTAGCGCGGAGAAACACCCTAATATCACTTAAAATGGGTTGTTTATAATACTCAAGCCCATAAATTAAATGAATATTGGTGTTCTACTGCAGACAGGGGCGAACACAGAAAAAATATTTGGTGTGTGGCATAATGAAATATTTAATCGGGTAGATATAATATAATTGACACAATATAGTTATGGTTGACAAAGAAAAAAATATAGTTATGAAATATATTTTAGAATTTGATTCTAGAACACTACCGATTTTGAGTACAACACAAAAATTGAATTCCAGACCACAATTATTAGGTATTCTTTATTTTTACAGAATACTAGATCCTTTCTCCGCGCGGATAATATGTTTAAATTTTTTATATTTATCATTTTTATTTCTTTGTGAATTTTTGTATATTAAACTATATTTAACTAATTTTTAAATTTGATTTTTTTTTTATATTTTTGGATTGAAGTAAGTATTTGAATATAGTTTACTTGTGGTAATGGATAATTTAATTATATAATTATTTTCAATATACCATGAAATTTATACTAATTGTCATATATGTTTCTATTATATGTAACACAATTAACTAATAAAAGATGAAGAACCAAGTTCGATATTTTAGAGTTATGTAAAAAAAATATAATTATAAATAATCTTAGTTTAAAAGATCAGAATCTCATCTCAAATAAATTCACGAAAAGAAAAAAATACTCCAATAACCTACTTAAAATATAAAACCTCATTTTCAAAAAAAGAAGCGTACTTAATAATTTTTTTTACGTGTAAGTTGAAAACTGTCAATTGAATATCGATCTAGAATATTATTTTAATATATCTAAAAGTAAAATATTAATTGTAATAAACACATTTTGAATTTTTTAATATTACATGAATTAGACATCTTTAAAATCTAAAATCCATTTTATTATTAACATAATATATTTTTTATTCTTTTATTCTTTTGACGTTACAAAATATTTCTTTTGTTTTATTTGTATATTAATTTGTTAATAATTTAGTTTCTCTTTTAAGTAATTTTAAAATTATCAAGAATAAAAATATAATGTCTCATTTTTATGTGTGTTGCGTCGAACATTTTTTTTCGTATACTTAATAACGCATTGTTGTGTGCCGTTTTATGGTTTTAATAAATGTGTTGTCATTACATTTATTACTATTAACATAATTTTTAGTGATCAGTGATAATTTAATTTTAACATTATGTATTATATTTTATCGTATATTTTTAATTTAGATTTTCCACTCTTCATGTTGGCACTTTCTTTAGAATCATTTTAATTAGATAATACATTTAAAGATGTCAATAAAACTGTGTATGTTGTAAATTTAGATTTTTAATGTAACTGAGCACAATCAATTATGGAAATTATATAATGATTTTATTTTACTAAATCTTTCTTTCTGTGTATATTTTTGTTTTATTTTGTATTTTTACAGTTTTAATGATTACTTCTTTACTGAATCTTTTCTAAAACAAATTTCGGTGGGTATCTTACATTCAACAAACAACCTACACAATCTTTCAGTCTTTTCAATTAGATAGACGTCTTGGTTCATGAACTATCCAGATCCCAGCCGGGTCTTATATGGTCTTGTTGATGATTCGTATCAAATAGATATTCCATGAAGATCAAAAAGGAGAAAAAGAAGTGGGAGAGACAGATCGAAGAAACACGAAAAGAGAAGAGACGAAAGGATCCCGAGACGTTTATGGTTTTCCCTTCATTGGACTAAATGGGCCAAAGAAATAAAATCTAATGGACCCAAAAATTTAGAAACCCAAACCGGAAATGGGTTGCTGACGTGGCAAAATGAAATGTCCCCATTAGTCGATTATTTTATCTGACGTGGATCTTCTATAGGCTCATATTGCCCTTTTAATAAAATATTAGTTTTGATTATATATTTTGTATGTTTATTTTATATATATTTATATTTATATATAAGTAAAAATTATTTATAAAATCATAAGTAGCTAAACAATTACAAAATTATTTTAAATTTTTCATTATTTGTGACTTATGCATTTTAAAATTTGGAGTATCAAATTTTTTTTTGTTATCAGACATTATATATTAGGGGATGAGCAGTATAAAACAATATGTTGTGAGAAAATTTATAGCTATATAGGATCATTGTGGGTTGGAGTATTATGGTGGCTTTGGTATAATGGTCCTCCAATATTTTTACTAATTTGAGTATTATAATTGTTTTGAATGTTCTTTTATTTATTTATTATCCTTTGTAGTCATTAGAGTTATGTTGTTTTGCGAAGTGCTATATATCGTATTAAGTTTTTCGTTGTTGCTGTTCTTTTCAAAAGAATATTTTTTAACTTTGCGATGATTGACTAAGATTTCTATTTCAATGCTAAATTTATTTGTCTTTTTTTTTTTGCTAAATTGAACGGGATTTATTAAAAGAAATTCTTAGTTAGTTCGTATCATACAATCCGACATATATTTCTTAAATCATGAACTGTGTAGCTTGTTTGTAATAGAAACATGTGACATCGATTTTGATGTTGTTGTGATGGGATGTAATCGTAGTTTATGTATTCTTATCAATTTCATAACAAAGAACAAACTTTTTATTCTCAAAACTATCATACGTCGTATAGTATTGCATCTAATTTTGAGCAGAACTATCGTTTGTCAACACTGTTACCATAAACAATTTGAAATTTGATGATCAGTTTATCAGACTGAAGGCATAATGCATACTATTTAACATTCAAAACCACTGATATCCCAAACGACCGCATTACTTAGATTTGAGTGATTTAACATAAAATTTTAGGAACCCAAAATGCTCACCCACTCGGCCCTTCACTAAAGGAAAAACTATCAAAACTTTATGAAAAAATTGTGACTTTGGCCTGTTCTCTAGATTCTTTTAAGATATACACCGCCACTTTTGTGCCATTCATGCCTTCCTGCACCTAGTTAGTTTATAAGCAAAAATTAATCTAGTTGTTAATATTCAAAGTTTTGAGTTATTACAGATCTATACTGAGTTATGTTTATTTACCTGGCGGTTTATGCTGACTTGAAACTTTGGATTCTTTGACACAGATGTGTGTTCCTTCCACTCGATTTTTGTTTTAGAGACTTTTCTGGGATTAAGCTTTGCTTTCTTATCGAAATTGTTTTTCTCATCTCGACATTTAATATCGTAACCGTCTCATTCCGTTGTGAAGTAGATGAGAACTTATTATCCGAAAAGAGCATCAGATTAAGATTGAAAATTACTAAAAGCGGAATGAGTTGGAATTTTCTAAAGCATATGTATATGTAGTTTGGCCACAAAATAACACATGTATATTTATTTTTGGTAAGAATAACACAAATATATTATTTCGATTGACAACCAAATACAGAAAGAAATAGAGTTATACTTACATTTTTAATTTTTATACAAACTTAATTGGCAATATATTACAAAATCACAAAAACAGATCCCAAAAAACCCAAAAGACACTTATTAAATCTGGCAAAAGAAATATAAAACCACAACCACAATAAAAAGAAACTTTAGTGGGGAGACGACTTTTAGAGAGTTGACTCTTGACTGAGCCCTTTTAAGCATTGGTCTGGTGGACCTGGAGTAATCTATTTCGAATCTGTGTTGCCACATCAGAGACAGCGCCTGGGCCGTGAGGGATAAACACCGAAGAAGATTTGGAGTGAGCTCCGATGTCTCTCATCGTGTCAAAGTACTGAGTCATCATCACCATGTCCAACACATCCTTCCCTGACGTTCCCGGCACGTTTCCAGTGAACCCTAGTACACTGTCTCTCAGTCCGTCCACGATAGCTTGTCTCTGACGAGCTATATCGAGTCCATACAGGTACTTGGACTCAGCTTCACCTTCTGCTCTCTTTATCTGAATGATTTTCTCCGCCTATGCTTTCTCGTTCGCCGCCACTCTCATCCTCGCCGCTGTAAACTATTTTTAAAACAGATGTTAACCTTAAGTTTGATTATGTGGTTTCTAAGATTTGGGAGGTTAGGACTTACAGGCGTTGATTTCGTTCATGGCACATTTAACTTGTTGATCAGGCTCGATATCTATGATAATGGTTTGGAGGATCTCATTACCATAAGCAGTCATGGCTATGTCAAGCTCTTCTTCCACGGATTTAGCGATTTCTTTCTTCAGCTCGAGGACATTGTCCAGGTTCAGCTTTGGCACACATGCTCTGATCACTGAGAGAAACAGAACAACAATCAGAATCTTTGAATTACTCGGATGGAGAAGAAAATGGTGGTGGTGGACTTTCTTATTCTTAACATTATCGATTCAAATTTCATCCTCATCATCATCTGAACCCATCTTATACTAAATAAATAAAACATGGGTCACATTTCAGAAATCAACATCAAGATCATAGCTTTCAACAAATTAAAGTGAGTCAATGCTACTCACATCTTGTTCCAAAAAAAAAACGTAAAGGGTAACAGATGTTAAAATCTACCTCATCAGAGTCAGATCCATCTTCGTCATCTAACTGAGATTCACCAGCTTCAAAGTTTTCCTTTTGATCATTCAGCCTAGTCCTAAATAACAGTCTCAATTTTGAAGTCGTAACAAAGCGACAAAGCAAACTTTAACACAATTAAGTAAACCTACGTCGATCATGAGTTTCATACTGGATTTTGTTTCAAATCTCTGTTGATCATGCGTTTTAAGGACAGAAAACCTTAGCGTCGAGGAGCTCTCCACCGCGTTTCAAGTTTATTGCTTCCCAGAACTTTAGAAATCCGATCGCGACGGTGGAACAGAGATGAGACTTAGTCAGCTTGATCTAGGGAATCATCATCACGCTTATTCTCACAAAACACTGTCGAATACACCATCGTCTCCCTAGTTAGTAACAAACGAAGAACACGATGAACCCTCAATGATTGCCATACGGGAAGAAGAGATGTGTGACGATTGATTTTGACTAACTTTGTTTCAAGCCAAGCAAAACTACGATAAAACAAAACCAACAACAGGCCGGAAAAAAAAAAACCCAACCCAAAAAAAACAGGAGATGACATGGATGAATGAAGCAATATTAGTGGCTGATTTTAATAAATGACGTGGCATAGCTCACATGGCAACATATTTGCTTTTTAATATTGTTAGATTTCTTATTCTACTGATAAGTATGGTTGTCATTCACGAATTATTATTTAGCTTATAGCTCATTATTTGTCTAATCTAATTTCTAATTATTTTGTGGTCTTTATAGTTTACGGGTAAGTTCTGTTCTTTAAAAGCTAAAAAAATGTTCAATAAATTTTTTTTTAATAAAAATATAGACTTATAACATATCACTTACAATCAGTCATAAAGAAAAATTAAACACACAATAACTACGTTACAAAAAGACTAGAAAGGAAAATGAGATCTAATTTTGAAAAATTAAGATCATTCTTTGTAATAAAAAGATGAGATATGTATCATCTATTATATAATCCTTTGTTTCACTCCTTCTAAGGCTAGCCACGTAGGCGTCCACGTCATTAAGTCCAAGTATATAAGTCTACACAGGACACATGTCGTCATTTCATTGGTTCCGTTTTAATTTTGTTACGTGGTGGGCTTTAACGAATGTGGTCCAAAACGCTGAGACTCCCCAAACCTAATTCATTTCGTGTTTCTATCTCAATGTTCTTCATCAGCCGATGAAGACTCGTGACTTTCTCATGTGAATCTCTAGCCGCCTGTACTATCTCTTCATCTCCTTCCTTCAGAGGCAATTCCTCTCATGTCCCTATTTCTCGTTCTCTAATCTTTCTAGGACACTTTTTTCTTTTAATTTTATATGTCAAACGAAAAATCATAAAATTAAATTTGAAACGTGAAAATATTTTTTATTTTATTTATATAATTTGATAAAAATATTTCAAAATTCAAAGAAAAGAAATTTTCATATTTTCACGAAAATCATCAAAATATGATTAAAAACGATTTTAAAATATATTTTTTTTCAAAATTTGATCACTATAGAATTTAAATATTTGTCCAAGGGTTCACTAATCCATAGGGAGGATTTTTGTTTAGTTTTGAACACCGGGAATGATTTAATTAGGGGTTCGGGTTTTGATCAAAAAAAAGAATTATGAAATAGGGGTATAAGAGATCTTGTGAGCCCATAAGAGATTAGCTTTTTAAAAAATAGGGGCATGAGAGAAGATGCCTCCTTCACGAGATCAATCAGTTTCCTTCCTTACAAACACAGCCTGTAACGATGGTCTCATCTCATATCTTTATGTCCGATATGCATCCGGTTGTTGTCCCAGACGGTGGTGACGCGTCTTATGTGTTTCTGGGGAGCACGCAATGTCCAAAAATAGGAGAGCTCATGGGAGTCAACATGCTCCTGCTTCATGAAAAGGTTGAGTTCTTCATGTCTCCTCTATTATAGAACTGATTTTTTTTTTTTGGTATAATAGATAGAACTGATGGGGACAGATATATTCTTACCAGATTCAAAGGTGATTTGTTCTTAAACTCATGTTCATAGTAAGCTTCCGGCGTGTAATCGTGCTATGAAGCTTTTGAGTTTATATATTTTATTAATGTGATTTTGTTCTTAAAATCATGTTCATAGAAAGTAACGTTTTTTTTCAGATCTAATCTCTCTTAGATCTGTAAGCTCTGCAACATCCCCCACGGCATCTTCCATGCCATCCTCCCAATCTCCACTTCCCAAAACGTTACCTCCACAGCTTATTCCTCCGACGAATCTCAACCACCCATTACACTCTCGAGTTTGAGGAGCTCTGTTTCTAGAGAACAATCATTGGATTTGGTAAGATTTATAAGTTGTTTTGTTCTAAACAACTTACGTTACACCTATTTGCAGTTTGGTTCTTTCTCATTTGTTTCTTTTTGAATTCAGTCTCACCTAATCAAATAAACACTCCACTAAAAACATCTAAGTGATCATAAGACAACAAGCATATGTGTCTAACTATCATTACATTTCACATTGTATAGGATGCTACTCTCAAGCTGTTCGTCTAGCTGCACAAATGAATGCACCAACAAGCCGTTCTAACAAAGACGTATCAAGAAACTAAGGAGATTATTGCATCAGAGGAGGAGCTTGCTTAATAAAAGTTCTGCTTCTTTCCCCTTTGGTTGTTTTAAATACAACATTTTCTGACTTGAAATCTGTGTTTAGAACTTCTCTTCCAGACGTCACCATGGAGAGAGGAGAAGGAAGCGATGAGACGTGTAGCCGTGAAGCGGTGGAAGAACTATGCTTGCTTTGGGAGAGAGAGACTTTTCGATGTTCAAACTCAAAAGTCTCTCCTTTATTGTCATGATACACTCGATAATAAATAGATGTCACAGTCATCGCTCTAAGGATCTATTTATGTGCATCCTCCGATAGAGTAACCATATGTTGCGAATACATTATCTAGAGTAACCATAATGTCAAAGCTTCTTGATGCATGCTTAACTTATGAAGGTTTAATAGAGCTAAGCCAAGATTCGAGTTGCCAGTGGCTAATCAAATCTCAAGAAATGGAAACTGATGCTCGAGATGATTTCAGAATTCCTCAGAAATACATCGTTCTCCAGATTGCTATACCTGATCTCCTCCAACAGGTATGAAGAACAATTAGTTTAAAACCATATCCACAATCTATATGCTATCTCGAAGCTTGGATTAGTCATTTAAAGAATTGGAGTAAGCTTGGATCATCATCATTTTTATGCATTATCAGATGTTGTGTATTCTTCTTTAAATGTTATATGATTCTTTTTAGGTGGCGTGAATTTTTCAGAAGAGTACAGGTGCTTGCAAAGTATTCTTCGGCATTAAAACATTCAAAGGTTTTTAAATATGGGGATCTACTGCACTTGATTCGAATATCCTGTCTGGAAAACGTAAGAGTGTGCATAGCTTTTGGTTTTGTTTAGATTGAATGAGGGTTTCTAATCCACAGCAACATCTCAACGCAGGTCTATAACTGGTTGTGTCAATGTTTTTAACGTCCAAACCAACCAACTTCACAAGAAGTTGACGGCGGTGGGTGAGGAGGTTACCATCTTCTAGAGTGGACTTTTGTTCTGTGACTAACTTAGTATAACATCCAGGCCGCCTCTTCCTTAATTCAACTGCTAGCACTCCTTTCTACTTTGACAAAGAAACCAAGGCGAGTGAGGTCACCAAGAATGTGCTCATTACAATCACCGATCCCCTCATCACATCATTTATATTTTTCTTCCATTGTTGTAAGTCTCTGGAATCAAACTCTTTGTAGCTGGGTAACTTACTCCAACGTGAAGCTTTTAGTTAATTATTTTGTTTTTAAAAAATAAAACAAACAATTACATCCACATATGTAAGTTTGGCTGCAAAGGGAGCACCTGTCTAGCCAACATGTGCTGAGAGCTCTGCAGAGGAACACCTGGTTCAAGCAGTAGGGAATACACTCAAGAAGGCTCACAAGGAATAGTTAAGCTCTCCACATCAAGACCCTCCTATTTTCTCCGAAGCTTCTTTGAAGTTATGCTTTTAAAATAAACTCAGAGTGTTTTGTTTAATCTTCCATGTTTGCAACTTAATTAATAAAAAAAATTCTAAATTACAGATCTATGTTGATTGACATATTTCCAGGTTATGATACATTTCTTATATCAGGTTTTGTATTACATTATCAAAGTAATTGATACATTTCTTATATCTCTCACGCATTCACCAGCTTCATAGGTACTGTCATGAATATTCACCGTATTGTTCATTGCTGCGGCTGCAAAAAAATATTATTTTCTATTAACACCTCGATCTCAATCATTGATGAAAGGATAAGTCAAATCTATAACTTTTAATAAAACCCGAACATGAACTACACAATTCTTCGTTGAGGTTAGAATAGTGACACTCATGACAGACTTATACTGCTAAGATTCTTGGAACGTACTGGGATATGTGCATATAGAGATTATACGTTCTTAACATTATAAAAGAAGTGAAACACTTTTTAGGTTTGTATGTGCGTGTGTTTGGTAATCTTAAAATTGAGCCCTATGAGTAAAAATGTAAGGATTTACAGCAATAACAATAGGATTACAAAAGGGAGAATTCCACTTATACCACTTTGGTGGTACCACATTCATTTTTACCATCAACAAAGGAATAATTTCAAAAATACACATTTCATTAAAGGATAGAAGACTCTTTTACCCTTCTTCTTTATATATTGGGAAAATTGCATAACTACCATTTTTATGATACCACAATTCAACTTTACCACAACGCAAGGGACATTTTCATAAATACACAATTCATTAATGACAAGATGACAATACTACACTTCCCTAACTTACCTTCTATTTTGTTTCTCTGTTAGATCTGTCTTCTCTCTCTCACGAAACTGCGACGAAAGAGATTACAGAGAATCAACGCCGGTGACGCGAAAATCAACGCCGGTGACGTGTTCATCAACGCCGGGTAACGTGTTCATCGACGCCAGAGAATAATGTCGACT